CCCCAAAACCCCAAAACCCCATATTTATTATTTAGTTAATATAAAGAAATTAAATCTTAAAATTGATAGATAATTATTAGTTTAAAATATGGATATCCCAGAAATTTACAAAACCAACCTTGAAAAGGAGTTTGAGGCAGATTAGTAACAAGAACTCATAGTCTAGCAAGAGGAGGAAGATTAAATAGAGCACTCACTCCTGGAAAGAGTTCAGCAGATCCCCTCATCTCAGAGAATCTTAACTGTCAAAAACTACCTGGACTATGTCTGCGACGACTTCTCAGCTGAATATGAGGATCAAAGAAAAGCCTTAGCCATTAATCTACCTATCAACACAATCACACCGAGCGAGCTTGATGGTCTATCTCTTTAGGATGAAAGAAGATTTAGGATCTATGGTTGCGAACTAATTCAAGATGCTGGAATACTGCTCAAGTTGCCTCAAGTCACAATGGCTACTGCCTAGGCTATTTTGCATAGATTTTACTATAGAAAATCCTTTATCAAATGTGAGATTCAAACAGTAGCTACGGCTTCACTGTTTCTAGCAGCTAAGATAGAGGAGAATGCTCGTAAGCTAAAGGATGTAGTCTCTATCTTTGACTATGTATACAAGATGAGAAAGCTTAAGACCAGGCCAGTCCCTTTGCTTGATATCAATTCATTCTAGTATACAGACCTAAAGAAAGAAATTGTTGATGCTGAGAGATTCATCCTTAAAGAATTGGGCTTCTCAACTGACAAAATCTCAACTTTAAATGTACACAAGTACATCTACTTCTACTTGAAGGTACTCAATGGAAGCAAGCAGCTAGCTTAGAAGGCTTGGAACTATGTCAATGACTGCTATAGAACTATAGTAGTTGTATGTTTCCCTCCAAATGTTGTTGCAAGTAGTGCGATATATCTAGCAGCTAAGATGATGAACTATCCACTACCTCAGAATCTCGAATGGTGGAAGATATTTGGAGTTAAGTTCGAAGACATTGAATACGTAGTTGCAAGCATCCTCGAGCTTTATGAAGTTCATACTAATGATACTATTTCTACCCTGTATGTTGAAGGAGTAATCAAGGGGATCTAAGATGCTCAAAAAGCAGCGCGTGAGCAGCATATCAAATAGCTAAAAGAAGAAGGCAAGTATGAAAAGCAAACTAAATGGGCACCTGTAGCTGGGTAAAAATAAGTTGAGTCCTAGGCTAAAGAAGTTTTAATGGATGAATAAGATGATTAAGAAGAAGTAAAAGCTATTGAAAGCAAATAGCCTTCAAATGTTAGACAAACAGAATCATTAAAGGAAAAAAATGGGGACAAAAGAGAAAGGAAATCGACAAGTAGGAATCGTAGAGAGCGTAGTAGGGATAGATAACAAGTTAGGAAATAGGACTACAATAGAAATGATAGGAATGATAGAGACAGAGATAGAAGAAGAGATAATCATGACGACTATGATAGAAGAGGTAATCGAAGCCATGGTCACAAGAAAAGTAGTCATCATCATACTAGCAGAAGACATAGAAGAGACGATAGCAGTAGAAGTTCAAGCTACGAAAGAAGACATCGTGACAAAAAGAGAAGAGAAGGCAAATCGAGATCTAAAGATAGGAAAAGTAGAAGAGATGATAGAGATAGAAAAAGATCTAGAAGTTATAGATCTTCCAGAAGCAGCAGTATTGATAGCAGATGAATATGATATGATTGTCAGCACTAATTAAATTTTAACTCATTAATTTCATAACTCAACTCTGATAAAATACTCAAACCTTTACATTTATGCACCACGGGGTTTTGGGGTTTTGGGGTTTTGGGG